TTTCCAGTTTTTACGTTAGTTTTAGTATAGTATGTCATTCAAATCAATCAGTTATTTATTTAGTTGGTGAAATATAGTGTGTTGTTCGTATTTGCAACACAGTGTGTTACAAAAAGTGAAATTGCACTAAGTGAATCGAAACCAGCTATCCTGACTTTTGTGACTTTAGTTCTGTGCAAGTATAGGATAAAACTCCTTAAAACAGGCCACGACCACCTCATAACAGACTACATCCTTATCAGCTTACTCATAATTATCCTATCTTTCAGTTATTGTTAAACCCAAAATATACAATTGACAGCGTGAAACACTATTAACTGTTGTTTCGTGTGTTCTGAGCCATGCATAGGATTGAGATTTGGCGATTTCACGGCGTAAAAATATGGTTTGGACCTGTCCTAACTATTATTTGTTTTTCGACAATAGAAATTGTGATGATTGCATCAGAAGAAATTTGGAAAAGTCCGGAGAAATTAGAAATGTTAGATACATATGAAAATATTGCAAATTATGTGAAGACGGTTTGAGACCAGATCGGGCGTCAGACAAGAAAGTGTATTATTACTGATATTGTTTAATGTTGTAATGAACGTAGCTTGTAACAAAATCAGAGAGCAAATTAAAGAAACAGATTTAAAAGCTCTTCTGTACGCATGTTATATGATATGTTATAAGTAACTTAGGCAAGACAAAGCCACTGGCAAAGAATAAACAAGGAATAAGGTCTGCAAATAAACGTAGACAAGACAGTATGTTAAAAATCGCAGTGAAAATAAGTGCTCAAGTGATTAAATAAACAGAACATAAATTTGTATAATTTAGAAACGTGGTGAAGAAAAATGGCAAGATTTAAAACGAGATAAATGAAAGCTTTGCAAAGGCTTTTCAAAACTTTGGGCTATCATTTAAAAACAGTTTATTATGGTATAAAGAGTAGGCAAAAATTATTAAATTACAGTTTATAAAATGTGTCTTAAAAAGACATTATTACATGAAACTAAAATATGGGCATGTGCCAAGAGAGACCAAAATAAACTACAAACAGTTGAGATGAAATTCCTGAGGGGAATAGAAGTGGCAGAACTAGAAACACGAACATCAGAGGAATGCGGAAGATGGAGGAAGTATAGAACAAAATGGAGAGAAATAGATTGAGATGGTCTGGACGTATTAAAAGAATGAAGGAGCATGGAAGACCAAGGAGATTGTTGGAAATGAAGGTGGGTGGAAGAAGACCCAGGGGTAGAACACACACAGGATGAATGGAACAAGTTTCGAGAGATGTAGAGAGGAGAAGACGAGACTGCAGGAGGATGGATGAAATGGAAGAATGGGTAGATAGAGACAGTTGGAGAATCCTATGCAAGAGTCTGGCCACAGGAGTGGAAACAACTGAAGGAAGAAGACGAAATCATACATTACCAGTACACGGAGGATTAGACCTACTTGCAGAAGAAGACTTTTTGTAAAACAGCGTGGGAATGGTTAAAGGCGACATTATAATGCCGTTTTTCGTGCAAGAATTTTCACTTCTCTCATAAGCGTACGACGAACCAAAGCTGAACGTCAAGGACTTCTTAACACGTTTTTGCGCATCAGAAAACGAAAATGTCCGTGTCAATACTTCGAATGTTAGTCCTTGAAAGGTTAAAGTGGGAAAACACGAATACAGCCAAATTTTTTCATTCCACTTAGTGGAAAAGCCTGGCGGGCGTTATTAGAATCACGCAGGTCCTGGGTGTTTATCTTCGTCACGCAAAATATTTCTCACCAGATTGTGGGTAGTAAACACTCTTGTCCACTGTTGCATGTACAACTCCGGCGAATTGGGTTCTGACAGACGCTGAACAAGACAGCGAGTACTAGACTCGGGTTCCATGAAAGCAGGAGATTTCTTGAACGTTGGTACAATTATAAACATTTTAAGAAAATCGTGTGGGTTTACCGAGGGGACAATTAGTTGTGACTACTGTATTTTAGCGTGGCGGACTAGAGCAACTGCTCATGCAGTAAAGTTACAGTCACTCCTTCAATAGTTCATAGTTCTTCTTCCAGTCAAGAAATTCAGTTTTCATTAATCTCGAAGACTCGTCACAGTATTGACAAAATTACGCGTTGGTCCCGTCCGTAGCAACTTAAATCCGGCCTAAGTCTTCAAAACCAATTTATGTAAGATCCATTTTTAGGCTGCTGACCTCCAAGTAATCTCTTTTCATTTCCACCATGCATGCTACATGCCTCGCCTTCGAAAAATAAACGCGATGTATCTGCATTGCAAAGAGCAGTTTGCTAATACTGTTCAGGGTAATAATCGCCACTTATTCTGAGAGTCACACGAAACCCATAAATATACTCCGTGGTCAAAATGCAGTGTTAGGGATTGTCTAAGGAAGTAGGTGGTACGTAAACATTGTTCTTTAAAATGTGGGCATTAATATGTAGGCCTCAGTTAACACGTTTTTCTTCGTATAAATAATATGCTGTTGGAAATATCTTCATCTTGACAGTTTCAATTCATTGTCACCTACAGTAGTACCATGACGTATCTCTGTTAACTGAGTCGGAACAGACTAATATGTCGAAACTAGACGTAGAAGATGAAGATCAAACCAAAATCCTTCTCACAAAGGACAAATTGCCTGTTGGGATAATCTCTTACCAGTAGCAACAGCCCCTGGTTTGAATAGTCAAGGTCTTCCGCCACGACAAAACCCCGTCAGCGTACGCACACACTCGTTTTAGTTTAAGGCATTTCGGGCAGTGCGTTTCGTACGGAGGAATGGTATAACCCAGCAAGGGACCATGCTTTGCGCTTGCAAGAGGCAAGGGAGAACAATAAATAGAAGAAGAAATATCAGACAACCTAGGAACAGACAACACGACGAATAAGAAAGAGGTGCAGAAGAGAAGGAAGAGAGAGAAGATAAATTAGGAGCAGAAGATAGGAATGCTGACAGAGGAGCAGAAGAAGATGAACACGTTTTTGCCAGGTCATGCAGTTCAACATTCTCTTGAGAGCACAATAACTGACCCTCACAAATTGACACGGCATCACTAAATAAGCCAGCAGAACGCAACTACTTTCAAGGATGGAAGCACCGAAGTTCTCGATGCTGTAATCTATTTATTATGAGGAAGTTATGTAACAACTATAAGGAGTTATTAAGGAAACGCGACTCGTATGTGCAATTTTGTGGCGAGGAAGGTGATAGGTAAGTGCACGAAATGCAACTTCTGAATGACCAGTTTGGCCTTGATTCCCCATGCGAAATGGAGCAATCAGAACTGTCGTTGCTTCACGCTCAGCACAGCCCCCCACCCTCCCCTCAAACTGTCATTGCCAACTGCGCATTACAAAATAATCATCGCTGGTGTAGCGCATTCCATGACTCCGAAGGATTATTGTCCCGCGTGTGTTAATACCACATGTTCTATTAGTGCATGAGTTTGTAACACATGACTTTAACAAGTCACATACCTACAAAGTTACTATGATTCATCAAGTTCTCCTGACTGCCATGTCATTTTCTATTTATTACAAGCTGCTGCTGAAAAGAGGCTGTATCCTTCACAAAGAATTGAATATCTCTCTGGTAATAAAATCCGAAGAACCTGAGCCTGTTCCATACATCTTCCTCTCTCTTTTTTCCTCATTCACTTAATTTTTAAGTGTTCTCCGCAACCAAACATTTTGTATCACGAAATGGCTGTTTTCTGGGTTGTAGAGCCGTGTAGTCGGTAAACTCCCTACCAGGTTACACGGCGCTATAACCTGTAAGACAGCCATCTTGTCGTGGGAATCTCAAATTCTACTCTACATGGCATGTCTATGCTCTTCAGTCCGAGCTCCGGGCAACTGCAGCATCGAATATTTCGATACTCTGACAGTACTAGTGGCTTGCACACGTCACACGATCAGCGTCGTATAATATCCTAAATCACTCACTAAATTTACCAACTTATGCCCATATATTTTGCTGGTCACATTCTTTCCATCCGATAATAATTAATGTCCGAACAAAAAGCATATATTCTCATACGTGCATCATTCACACAGGGCATTTAAACTGCCTCGAGATAACTTTTACATACAAACACGGTTGCAGACATCAAAAGAAAGAAGCCAACATTAAGTCCTCGGCGTGGAAGTGGAGGTCTACTATGGTTGCTTCTGGGACTGTTCTTTATCTTACAATTATATCATAGGATGTGGCCCGAGACCACTCGTAACCAGGCTTGCGAAATTATTTGTTAGTTTGTTACTAGTTATAAAGATCTCGTTTGTTTTCTTTACTCCAGAGGTGGTTCTGATCTTGTCTGCTGTTTCGTCTGGTCAGTAAAAGTTTAGGCACTCTGTCCGAGACCGTTTATTTGAAGCCGACTGTCTTGGTAACATGTGACGTAAAAATGACCTTGCCACCTGTTATGGCTGCGATCGCGCGGTTGGAATCAGCTTTACGCATGCGCCAGCGATTGCATCCACGTGGTGGACACGTACGAGCACAGTAGCAGAGGAAAGGAAGTGCGTCATGCAGAGCAAGAGTGGGGTATTTGTGCAGATGTTGTTCCATGGATAGGACAAAAACTTTCCATCGCATTTTAGGTTCATGTAGGTTTAAACGCGATACTGACTTCGTGGCGCTTCTAAAGTATAATTTTCTCAAAGAGTGTGAGATGATCATCTTATTCCTGGCTTTTTTCTCTGTCCAATTTGTTCCGACTTCATAATCTTCTTTTGGATATATTCTTCTTTCTCTGTACCATATTTATTTGTATTAAAGTCCATTTTCGTAGTGTTCTTACCCGTTTAGTGAAGGTGTGTCAGACATTCTTCTAGTTACGAGATAAAATACGGATAATTTCTTGGCCAGCTGTACGAATATCACTTTCTCAAGGACATAATTCTATGGAGTTCTGTACGACTATCTCTTTCTCAAGGACATAATTCTATGGAGTTAGCTAGTTTATTCATTGTATTTGAAGGAAGATAAGACATTTTATAAGAGTTATAAGTTATTTATTTAGGAACCACACCGAGTGACTGAATTTGTCACGAAATCAGATAATCTGTTAAGCAAACCTGCTTTGTCGTAATGTAGAGTATAATGGTGGAATCTATTCAAGCAGCTGTCAGTACAGATACTTTATGACTGTTATCTGGGCTGTAATGCCGTTTCGGAATAACTGTCTCCATCTTATGGTCTGACGATGTTTCTCCTAAACTTCCTACTAGTCCACATGGCGTCACAACCCTAAAAGAAAAACATTGTCACTGCAACGATCGTGACAAACTCCGGGTGTCGCCTCAAAGAACCGTCTATCATTTTGACCAATCATCTGCAGGAAACATTGCTGGCTTTGCTAAAATTACCGAGAGCAGTAGCGAGTCAAAGTGTGGCTGGAACGTAACTACGAGATTCTTACAAATAAGTATGGGTTTTCAACTGTGGGGCTGGCTCTCTTAAACACTCCCTTCTTGATTGTGGTATCTTTAATCTCTGCCAGTATACTGTAGGTTAGCGGACGTAACCCTACACAGTTTCGGACTACAGATGACGCTCTGATCAGTCATTCATTTCTTTCGTTCACTGATGTCTCTTAACCACTCTCGTACATTGCATTCGTTGTCAACGTTAGCAGGCGTTGTTTACTGGACTCTCTTTTCTGAAAACATTGATACATGAGATTATGTGTGATACCTCTTAGCGATTTTTTTCAGAAATATTAAACAATTTGCGGTATAGGATATTTCAAAGCATGTAAATCTACGGGGCAGAGTCCTCCTTCAGAAGCTAACAGTTGGCTCAACTAGTCAAGAAACTTAACATCTTTTGAGAAACCCGAATGTTCATTATCGTGTTCACAAGAGCCCACCACCGGTCACTACCCTGACTCAAGTGAATTCAATCAACACCACTTCCTCTCAAAATCCACTTTAATAAAATTCTTCTATCGACATTTAGGTCTTCTGAGAGGTGTCTTCCCTTCACTTTCTTCAACCAAAATTTTGTACGCATTTTTCATGTAATATACTAATCTCAAAGCACGTATCGGCCCTATTTATGAGCATATCTGTGACACCAGTTGGAACTGCATGGCACGAAGACTGTAGTCGTGCTGATAATCAGACTCAGGATTTCATGAATAAGACGCAGTTATTTTACCACTGAACCACGACGATTTCTTATTTACAGCTGAGACAACGTTGTTAAGCATAAACATTATTACATATTATGCGATCATTATCCCATTACCAGGCCCATAATCATGTTTCAGAACTCAGTATTGCAGCTTAAATATTAGGCTACGTTCGCCTTGAAGCATTTATGCACTAACAGGTAGCTGAGGAACCATAATGAACTCGTAAGAGCTGGCCTGTAACTTGAGGTACGAGTGTATATTCCGTGTGAAGTTAACTTGGCTTTAAAGACAGGTAAGGTGAAGAAATACCAGATTGACGAGGCGGTTCCTGGTCTAGACGCTTCTATGGAAACCCAAACTCAAAGATTCAACAACACCACAGTCCAGGCTGCTTTTGATTACCGCTAGTGTCTGCGACCGGCACCGTTCTTTTCGAAATGGCATTCACAGTCCGTTACGTATTACACAGGAGCCCTGACCGACTTTTTTTGGGTTGTGACACCGTGTAGACTCTTCTGTAGATACCAATGTTCGGAATAAAAAAAATACTGTCCTGAAGACAGAGGCGGTATATTTCTCCGAAACGTTAGTAGAGGTGTATCACTGCAAGAAAACACATTACCTTGTGTGCGCTTAAGTTGGAAATGCGTTGTGCTCCTAAACAATGTATCTGTGTAGGATTTGAGATTTTCACGTCGGCTAGTCTCAAGATGGCTGTTTTCAGTTTATTTCGGTGTACCTAAGAATCCACGCAGCGTTACAACCCAAACCAACATCGACACTTTCACTGCCGCGAGAACCTCAAATCTCATAGCGTAATGAGATTCCTACTTAGCACTATTCACTAAATATTATAGTAATATAATCAAGCGTATGAGGTTCGGTGTGGCATGTAGCATGCAGGATATAAAAATATCTACCAAATTTAGACGGAAAGTTTGAAGGGGCAGTACTCTTGGGAGGTTAGGCGTAGGTAGGTGGTAAATATGTAAACTAATCTAAAGCGGGGTACACATATGCGCATTCTATGTTACGTTACGGTAAAATGCACATGTCTGTACCCGAGTTTAAAGAAACAGGATATAAGAATGCAAACTGAACTGTATTTGAAGATGGCTGTCTTAATGGGTGATCGCCCTGATGATGCAAGCAGCAAGGACCTCTGAAACGTCGGTACACGTCTAACAGACTTCACGGCGCTACAAGCCAGAAGACAGCCATATTCGGACACGCGGCAGTGAGTACCTCATATTCTAACTGGACTGTATTTGTCTAGCTCGGAATAGGGTAAAGGGGCCGTCTCATGTGAATAAAGTAATAGACCTTCGGGTTCCATAAAAGGCGGGGATTTCTTCATTAATTGAACGAATAACAGGTTCGCGGAAAGCTCCGTGGTGCATGGAGTTACTGACCGACTTATACGATTTATGCCTATATTAACAATGCAGGGTGTGTTTTCGGCTGTCAGATGCTCGAGAATTGTGTAATTGTGCAGCAGAGGGGCATCGGTCCAGCTACGTAGTTTTACTTTTGCACCAACCCGTATATTGACCACGTAAGGAACTTAACTATAATAACAAACGGTCAAATTTATGTCCAGACCTTGCTGGGAAGGTAAAATATTTTGAAATAAATATATTATATTAATAAGACGCACTAATTCCTCGCATACAGGATATTGCTAGCCGCAGTTTCAGGTATTGGCGATTTTCGATTTGTGTCCAGTTTTGCTAATCGATGTTTTGAATTTGTGTATGCACGGAAAAGTCTGTGGATTCCTCGCCAATATTTCTACATTTGCTAAAAGAAAACCAATTTTATAACTTTCATATTGTCTTTGGTGTTTGTTCTTATTACCTTTATTTATATTTTATGTTTAATGCAACTGTAATTTTATATGAACACATGGCTTTATTGGATTTTAGGACTTTTTTATAATTTGGCTTTGATGAGTGTTAACAACTACCGTAGTTTCCCTGTTCCCCGTTTTACCGTAAGGTCTTGGCGTTTCCATCTGCGGTGTCTTCAAGGTGTATAACTCTCGCTGTTGGAGAGGGACTTTGTGAACTGACCCCCTGTTGTACAGTTTTCATAACGCATTGCACAGTCCAGTAAATTCTATTTCCTTTCACGTTAAGGAGAAAACATGTCGGCCCTGAAGCAAAATAACTTAACTAGTGTTGCGATTTATGTAAATGAGGAGGTTAGTAGGTCTGTTAATAATTTACCTGATGACATAACCTGCAGTTTAGACAACGTTACAACTACATATTTTTACACGTGCCTAGCGGGATTGGGTATTACGCTTTGCTAGGGCATACAATTACGTCTTAAATTATATTCGTATCAGACAAAAGATATAGATATTTTATGTTGTTCCACTTTTAAATACGAAGTGTAGTCAATGAATATTCTGCACTTTCTCGTGTTCTTAATTTTTGTCGATATTTTCATATGCAACTCACTTAGCTAAAAATGTTGTTGCTTTAATAATATATTCGTTTATTAATCTTAAAAGTGTGCAACAGTTTGTACTGAAAGGAAGCGAATTACAAACACGAGAAGTCCTTATAGTTGTGGTGCATTTTATGGTTCTGTAAAACTATAGTTTGTGTAGATTTTAATACCACCGTTACTACTATTCCTTCCTAGTAGATTCGTTCTCTAACATATGATTACAAACATTTGTGTAAATAACTAATAACATCTGTGTTCCTTACAATATTTAGAAGAGAAAGACATGGTAGTGACGTGACCACTCTGTGGTAACAGCTTAGTTGATTTGTGGATCTTACTATAAAATCAAATTTTAAATGACTACGACCCTCCGTTCTCAGGAATAAAATCAACCTACATTGTCTCACAGATCTTTCTCGTCACAGGGGTACTGCAAGCAAAATTATCGTCTATTTGGTACAGAAGTGGGCTCTTGTAGGAAACTGCTTCAGAAACTTAACTTATTTTGAGTAATCCTTGTTATTTAATGTCATTGTTTTAATTATGAAGGTTACACACACACACACACATTGTCGAATGAGACTGCATGCGATGATGAACAGGTATGGATTTGAGAGGAAGGGGTCATGGCCTGCAGAGTGCCTCGGTATTTGCCCAGAGAGCGTGAGGAAATGAAATTCGAAAAATCCCAGACGCTTTCACTTCGATTAATCTCGATCATTGCGCCTGCACCAGCTTGTTTGCTTTGTTTCGTGGTGGTTTTCCAATTTCTTTATCATCTCTCTTAAGAAGGAAAGAAATAAATAAAAGAGAATGAAGAAAACCTAAAAACAACTACAAGTGACACAGACTATGTAATTTTAAAAATAACATTTTAAACCAAGATTGACTTGCAGGTTCAAATAACAGTTCCTTTCAGTAGAAGCGTGTTGCGATTTATAAACATAGCTCGAAGCCTACCCTTGGTAAGTCATGAATACGTGGAAATTGTTATCACACAGCCGACACGCGTAAAACACAATTCAAAGTAAGAGTTGAAAAGAATATGTGTCCGTCTGCATTTAACTGAATGGCTTGCTCATATTCGTATTTCAGGGGTTATACTTCCGCGAATCTATCGCTAGTGACCCACGGAAGCTGACACGAAGAAAAAAGTTAACTGCTCCCACGTCTATTAATCGATTATCAGACACAGCTTTAATGCGTTCTTAGCAGATGGCACTATGAGGTGACCATGCCTGTTCAATTTCAAGCATCATCTCCAAAAACGTTTAACGGGCTTTGATCAATTTGTGAAAGGTAGGAGGAATCTACTGTACAAGTCTCATACATATTCGTAAATATTTTTATAACCTGCAGTCCCAAAGAATTCTGAATCTTAAATTAATATAACATATTTTGATCTTAGGTATGTTGACATTAACGCAGTGTTGAATTGTGACAATATCGGACATGTACACCTTAGGTGTGGCATTACAAAAGTGCATTTCATTTATGTATGACGTTCGCCTGCCGAGTAGGCTGTGTGCAATAAACTGGGAAGTCGATTAATACGATATCAGTGTTGGCGCATACGCAGAAAGTGTTCAATAGAATCTTCTCGGGCAATCAGGCGCGTCAGTTGCTTACACGAAGAGACCAACGTTTCGGGAGTCACCTCCGTCCCCATAATCAGGGTTCTGAACCCTGAGTTTTAGTCGCCTCGAAAGCTTCAAATCATGTATCAGTAAATGTAATTACGGTAGATTCTTTCAAAATCGGCTAGTCTTATGTAAGTAGAAAGTGTTTATTATAACGCAACCCAAATTTCAGTCACCTTCTGCTCCAGAAATGAGGTGGACTTGATCACTCGATAGGTAACCAACAACTTAGAAATTTAGTGGTGGGGGAACCGCTGACCTTGCCAACCCAAACAACCATACAACCGTCGTTTGTCCAGTGTGTCTCAACTCAGTTCAGTGTTGTGTTTTGATCAAGCAAGTTGGGCCATGCTTTTGACCAAAGAAGAGCATTATTTTGCTAGCAAATAATTTATATTGTGCTAACAAGTGTTTCCAAACCAGTAAGTGCCAAGAAATAACATTTAATCGCCTAACCAGGACGTTCCATTGAACTGGCAATGTGCTGAATTGGGAATGCAACTGAGGGGTTCGGTCCGTACTGACACGCTGGAAGACGTAAGGACTGGTTTCTTGCAACCACCCTCTAAATCACTTAGTACACTGTCTCAATAGAACAACATGCCATGTATTATGAAGTCGTGCTTTCTTTCTAAAATGAACGTCCCGTATTAAAAAGCTATAAAATGTGATTTCTGTGATTCCTTTTAAACACTAAATTTATTCTAGGCATTTACTCCCAGGTGAATACCTACAGTGAAGTATATTTTGGGTTTTAGTAATGTGAATGTCAAAAGGAAGTGAATGAAATTCACACAGAAATACCAGTCCGGATTTCCGAAATTTTCCAAATATATATAAAAAAAATTATCCAGGATTTTATGTAAAGTGGCTGTTAAAATTTATTAATGCCTTACTGAATTGAATTTGCATATGCAACAAACTAGGCCCGCTAATGCAACGGACTTTCCGTATTTGAAACTTGAAACTTAATCAGAATCTGTTGAAGATTAGTTACATTAGATTCTTAAGTAAAGCGACCTTTAAAATGAATTACTGAATGCAACTTTTTTACACATCATGATATTTGTATAATAGTGCTGTAAAGTAGGTTGTATCAAAATTTGTCGAGTGGTAGACATACATAACGTTTTATTTACACCCGTAAGCAAACTAACCCTTAAAATGACACAAAGGAAGCCAAAGTCAAACGTCTCGACAGTTTTTTTTAATCTGGTAGGAAGGACTAAATTGTTTCGATTTCTTTCGAAAATCGCCTAAAATTGTATGGGAGGAATATGTGTGACATCATCACATCCATATTGTTTAAATACAGTTGACAAAACTGTATTGTACTACCTTACGTCACAAATTAAATATTTTACTGACAGAGATTTGTTCCTTCATCATCGTCTTTATATGTTTTTTAGAACAGTTCTTAATGTCGAATCAAATTTCAGAATGGGGGGGGGGGTCACCCTTAACCCATCCCTACTCTGTGAATACTGTTTTAGAAATTATATGTCAGTTCGTAACTGAAGAGTGTGTTCGTGAAAGACTGATTTCTTACTTAGTGGGATTTGAGGTATTCACGGCGGTGAGTATGAAGATGGCTGTCTTTTTGGTTGTTGCACCATGTTGTCTGGTAGAAGTTTGCTAATGTTTCATAGGTCCTTGCTGCCTCCATCATCAGGGCGATTGCCATGATTGATGATGGAGGCAGTATTTATCTCTGAAATGTCGGTAAACTTCTACCAGACTACACGGTGCAACAACCAAAAAGACAGCCATCTTCCACCAATGTTTTAGATGTCATGCAGCCTCCGTCATCAGGGAGATTCATCGCCATGATGACGGAGGCAGTATGACCTTTGAAACGCTGGTGGAAATCTACCAGACTACACGCCGCTACAACCCAGAAGACGGCCATCTTTGATTTCTTACTTGACCTATTCATGTAGCAAACGGTTCTATGGATTGCCGGCAGGAACAATGGTTTTTCTTTGCTGTTCATCGCCCAAAGAATGAAACAAGTTCAGTTCAGACAGAATACATGACGATGGATAAAGATAAAAGATCCAGTAATAGTAACGTCATAATTACCCAAACTCGGCGGTTATCAAACTGTGGTACCGGTACCCCTTGAGGTACCAAAGATGCTTTTCAGGGGACCATAAATCCTCATTCATATTCTTATAAAATTAATTAAACGCAAGCTTTTATCAATCCTGTGTCAAATACAATTCTAAAATAAAAATGAGATTGTAAACTTTCAGCAAAGCTAATATAGCTCGAAAGATGTAAAAATTTCCCCCCGTTTCCAGTATTTCCAAATTTTATTTGCATGTGGCACTCGAATTTTCTGTTGCTTCATTAAGGGTATCAGACACACAAAATTGAGAATCCCTGCTGTACTAGATTCATATGTGTACCAAATTCAGTAAGAATGCTTTGTAATACTTCTTTCTTAATTGAATAATTTTTTAAAGTCTATAAATGGTTTATATGTGGTCCCATTTCACTGACATTTTACCCAGTATCTGATTAATGCAGTACCATATGTATATAATCACCAGTAGTTCCTGAATTACGTCGAATTTCACATTGATGGTCTCCAATGATATCTTGAACGTATGGAGTTAATCTTGAGGGAAAATTTTTGTATGTGTTTGATAATAGTGATATTTCACCCCTTAAAGACCAGAAGTGGGGCTCAGCCGGTCTCATATCTAATGGGGAGGGGCGTTAAAGCCTTCTGTAAAAGATAATAAGTCAGTGGGGGAAAAACTGCAGAAATTTTTGCAGGTGACGAATCTGAACAGGAACAAAGCTGCATGTTGATTGTAATTTGAAACAATGTCTTGCTGTACTGAAGTTTACATCCAACGCTTCATGGAACATACAGATTTTAAATCGAGAAATCGACGGGAGGAGAGATTCTTAATTCAAACGCAGCTTGCTACATTAAATTAAATTTTAATGTTGTAATTTTGTATGATATTTACCAAATAAATGATGCATATACAAATGGCTGTCTTCTGGCTGATTTTGTTGTGTAATCTGGTAGACGTTTGCCGACGTTTCAGAGTTGCAGGGCCTGATTGTGGAAGCAGGAAGTATCTGAAACGTCGATAAACTACTACCGGATTACATGACGCATCAATCCAGAAGACATCCCGCTGTGGCAACCTGAAATGAACAATGTTGAAAACGTTGTTAGATGGATTGATAAAGTGTTCAGACTTAGGGAACCCTGTTGTGTATCGTTGCGTTTGGCGTTTGAGATGATGCTCTGTTTGCTGGCAATGGCAAGCGAATTTACATCTACGCCCTCTGTACGCTAACTTTGTATCGTGCTTAGACAAAGAGATTTTCCTTCACGGACAAATGTCCAACCCTTGAGACCGTCCCCGCCTCTTTAAAACGTTCCAGATGGCGTCTACCTCAGTTCGCAGCACGTGGAAAGGCTGCCTATAAATGAGATTTATCCGGTTATTAATGCTGGTTTTGTTGGCAAAACGAAATGTCTCGGATACTTGTTGGTGTCAACTGTGATCTGCTGTTTCTGTTGTTAGGATTTTTTGAGTCGGTATTGAATAGTGTAACAGGTGATCTATTCCCTCAGTTTCAAGTTAACTCGAACCGGACATTACATCCCTCCCCCTCCTACGTATTTCCCCGCTCCCCTTCTGAGACCTACTACTCCCTCCCTCTTTTGTCCATCCCCTAGTGTGGAGCACGTATGTGGTGCATGCAGAACTTTGCTTACAACACTGGAATTGACTTCAAAGTTCATTATTCAGGATTGCAAGTCTGCAGAGTTTGACCAGTGCATCACGGCTTGTGACCACCCTCAGACCACGTCGCTACATTCTGCCGGCGTGGGGGAATTTACTGTCTTGTTTTGCAGTGCTGCGTCGCAGGGCGCAGGTCGTTTGATGACTCGCTGCAAAACGGTTATGTAGACGGAAGTTCTCTGAGAAAACTTGGACACAAAGTGAAGTAGAAAGTGTTAATAACATATTCCCAAATGTGCTGTGATAAATATCAGAAACGAACCTAAGTTGATGGAATATATTTGGACGCTGGGCGACTTCGACGTGGCACACTGTCTTGTGACAACATAAATATTTGTGTCTGTGTCTCCAGCTTGTTAGAAGGTAAGATGAGAATTTTGTTTACGAATTGCAACATATGAGGCAGACGTCATATTAGAACAGTCTCAGTTTCAATACGGTATTAACTAGCAGTTGTCGGGAATGTACACTCATGATGTTTAGCGAGGCGTATTCTGGTTAGCAATTTTACTTCTATCCGGGTGGCATCGGGTTCAAATTTCGGTCAGGGGATTAGTCATCCTGACACGTCTCTTCGTTGTTTTATTCAGCCCGTTCAGGCAGATACTCGGATGGTGCCTGCGACTACATTGACTGCTTCTTTCCACATCCATTACTCATAATCGTACCATTGAACGCTGTACTAGCTGACAGAAGAGAAACCTGTCCCTTGAAATAATACATACATAAATAATGGATAAAGACAGTAGCATCCCCAAGCATTGGCGTCGGAGCCAATCGCGAGGACCTGGACGAGACCCCTTCAGGGAATAGAAAGTGCACGGTATTTTAGGTGACTTTAATTATTGTAATTTTTTTCTGTTCGTTTTAGATGCACCGGATTTTTAGTTTCCTCCAAAAATCATTATTCCGTTTGATACCGGACTTCGCAAGGAAACAAAATACACATCCCTGTCCACCAAACAAAATTACTGCTGTCACAACTCAAAGAGTAACTGATTTGTCTTCCCTGCAAGTGTCTGGGTCCCACAACAATTACAAATTATGTAACTTAAAGTATCACTCACTTCGAGGAAAATAAGTTTTGTAAGCATAATATGAACATGCTCGTGCAAACCCAAATAACACTACTTGTAAAGTACGTCAGTCTTGATTGATGAAGACTTCCATGTTGCCAACTGTTGCCAATTACTCAGGAAGATAAAGATAAGGAGTGATAATGTGACCGAACTGTACACCATTAATATGCTGTCAACAAAGCATTTAATGAAAGGAATTTAAAATTTGTCGTTTGCTGTCCACATGCTTTTATCGAAAACTTTCTCATTTCCTCCTTCATTGTTGTCGGTCTCAGATAAAAGAACAAGGCAGACTGTGGCAACAATAAGAGAGATAAGGCGACGCCCTCCCCCTTCGCCGCCGCTGACCCTAAGTAAATATTTGCTTATGGAATTCCAAAGTTCAACATCGCTAATAGGGAAGTCTGCCATTGGACACGGTACTGAACCAGTGTCATCTTATTTCTCTGTGACCTTCCCAGACTTCCTAGTAGTCATTTCCCAAGAAGTTTCGCAATCAAAATTCCATACGCTTGCTTTATACCACGCATCATAGCTGATCTGTCGTATTCTCCCAGATTTCATTGGCCTAACAATACCAGGTTGTCTGCATGAATCAAGTTCCTCATTGTGTTTTATATAGCGCGTTCACTGTTAAAGTTCAACGCATTTGTCACTTCCCGGTTTCTGGTTGGAACTGCATGACACCTCCAAGCGCTTGCCTGCATTACAGCAGTTTCTACCTGGAGCCGGGAAATGATAATTACGTTTAACTTTATCGGTGGACGCATCGAATTTTGCTGGGGCTTTTGTTAACAAACACCTGTAATTAACGTTCTCTCCCCATTTTAAGAGATCATGTTTCATGTCCATTTCTCTAGCCTGACAACTTTGGAGACTGAAACTCGATGGTTCAGCGCTAATACCAAAACATGCTATCCCATCCTCATTATATTTCCAGAAGATCCATCTTAATATTTTTCTCCTGGTTCCATATTTCAAATGGCCGTTTTAGGGGACTCAATTTAATCCCGAATTTATCAAACACAGTTCGAATTTCGTAAGGGAAGAGGAATGCTCTGTTGCCTCCTTGTAGCAAACCGCCTACGTTCCGGAAGAACAATAGAACACGTGTTATAAACGCTGTCGTGATTATGTGCCCCCATCGTGACATCTGCTGTGCCCCCTGTGAAACAATGTGTGAACTATTGTCGCCATGTTGATTTGAAAAACTGTACACCAAGTGATTCCGTATGGATAGTCGCTCAGCTAGCAAAGCATTTGCCTGTCTGTTACGGAACCTGAACGAATCGGGGTCTCGCCACATTATCAAACTTTGCTTATTTACTATCCGTTTTAATATTATCTTGTCATCTACGCCTGGGTCACCCAAATGGCCTCTCTTCCCTTCTGATTTAAGAACTAAATATTGTAGGCATTTCGCAAGTTTCTAGAAAACCTAATGTGTTCTTACCTAAGGGTAAATTTTATGCCTACATAATACATAAAATTGTCATGGTTTTAAATACAGTCTTTGAATTTTTACGTTTCTTAGACGAGGGACGGGATAATAAACGTAGTTAGGAAGGTTAAATGAAGGAAAAGCAAATGAGAAGAACATGTATCACCCATGCGGGAATGGGAAACATCGTATTTAAATTTCTGGATGTAAAATTTCATAGGCAGAGAAAGCTTGCGAACTGTAAATGTTTCCAAGGTCTACGACCACCTTTGCCTACTCCTTATTCGTTATCGCCCAGTCATCTCACTGAACGCCAAAGTCTCTGGTGAGCCATCGTCATTAAATAACCTAACAATCGATGATTCTTGTTGCTGGAATATGAAACTTTTCTTGTGACGTCTGTTTACACAATCTTATCCTTAACTCTGATAACTCAGACTTGGGCATGTCGCCCGACACAGAATCTGAATTCTACGTGAAGGAGATCAAGGACATGGTGAACATCGTGCAGAGGCTTCTAGCAGACGGTAAGTACACTGATTTACTGATTTTTGTGTGTTCCAGTAGTGAGTGCTCTGTATGACGAACCCAAATATAACCCATCCCAGGAAAGGGAGAGGATTACATGGGCAAACTTGGTTGCCAGATATTTCCCTGCTTTTCTCCTTATATTGTCTACGTCTTTTGTATTAGCTTCCTGCAGAAGCTTGGCCAGGAGACAGGGGTTTTAGTATAGTACGCTCTGCCCATTTTCTATTCGGTATTCTTCTTCAGTCGGCGCTACAGTACTTGGTGGACCCCGTCCTTCAAAATCTTCCTCCATTTCTCCCTATCCGACGCCTTCCGTCTCCAGCTTCGAATGCCCACCAGATTCTTCAAGTCTTCCTGTATGCAGTCAATCCACCTTCTATGGTGAATATCAGCTTTGTGCATGCTGAGTTATCTGGCATCCAGTAGAGATGTTCCAGCCTCCTCAGCCTTGCCAATTTAATTTCTTTCACCACATCTACATTACGATATAACACATAGAGCTCGTGGTTATATCTTGCTGTCCAACCATCATTCACGCGGGTAGGGCCGTAGATTCTTCTCAGGATTTTTCTGTAAAAGCCTCCAAGTCGGTTTTGGTTCCCTTTCTTCAAGGCCCAACGCAGCCTATACTTAACAATTTATATAGGCCACTTCGTTTCTTTAGGCTAGTGAGGTAAGGGCTGTTAGGATGGGTTGAACTGAAGGCCGGACGAAGGAAGAAATTAATGTGTGGAAATCTAGAAGACAGTCATTTTGTTTTGTTCTGGCAGTGTCTCGTGATCAAACAGAAAGGAGCACGAATTGTTATTCTTTGTGCCGGCCTATTATCAGGCTGCAACATTAACATGCCAGATACTGACCACGTGCCGTTCATTCTCTGCCTTTGCAGTTTCAGATTAGGGCCTTTACCTGTTGCAGTAACCAAGCGACACCATTATCGATACCAACACGCTAGTGAAGTGTCACGTATTGTACTGAAGCAGTATAAGGGAAATGCAGATAACCTTCGCTCATTACTAATTCCTGCACTGGACGGAGGCGAGAGATTACTTTATGCTCCCCGGCGTGGTGTCAAAAGAGAAATCTCTGCCCAAATTATGCTTTTTTGTCTAAATGTTATTTATATGTTTCTTTCGTAATCCTATTAAACTGACGAGTTCACCTTTCCGTCCACACTTCAATATTACATACGCTAATTTGTTTTATGAGCCAAGTTTGATAATATTTTGGCTACATGTAATTAATTGAATAAAAATTTTCTTGGATATTATCCATCGTCTAGTAAATATAAAACGTAAAACGACGTTTCGGAGATGGAACTCTATCTCCGTCTTCAGGTTCCTACACAGTTGGGCCGTGTGTTCCAGTAGTGAGTGCTCTGTATGACGAACCCAAATATAACCCATCCCAGGAAAGGGAGAGGATTACATGGGCAAACTTGGTTGCCAGATATTTCCCTGCTTTTCTCCTTATATTGTCTACGTCTTTTGTATTAGCTTCCTGCAGAAGCTTGGCCAGGAGACAGGGGTTTTAGTATAGTACGCTCTGCCCATTTTCTATTCGGTATTCTTCTTCAGTCGGCGCTACAGTACTTGGTGGACCCCGTCCTTCAAAATCTTCCTCCATTTCTCCCTATCCGACGCCTTCCGTCTCCAGCTTCGAATGCCCACCAGATTCTTCAAGTCTTCCTGTATGCAGTCAATCCACCTTCTATGGTGAATATCAGCTTTGTGCATGCTGAGTTATCTGGCATCCAGTAGAGTTGTTCCAGCCTCCTCAGCCTTGCCAATTTAATTTCTTTCACCACATCTACATTACGATATAACACATAGAGCTCGTGGTTATATCTTGCTGTCCAACCATCATTCACGCGGGTAGGGCCGTAGATTCTTCTCAGGATTTTTCTGTAAAAGCCTCCAAGTCGGTTTTGGTTCCCTTTCTTCAAGGCCCAACGCAGCCTATACTTAACAATTTATATAGGCCACTTCGTTTCTTTAGGCTAGTGAGGTAAGGGCTGTTAGGATGGGTTGAACTGAAGGCCGGACGAAGGAAGAAATTAATGTGTGGAAATCTAGAAGACAGTCATTTTGTTTTGTTCTGGCAGTGTCTCGTGATCAAACAGAAAGGAGCACGAATTGTTATTCTTTGTGCCGGCCTATTATCAGGCTGCAACATTAACATGCCAGATACTGACCACGTGCCGTTCATTCTCTGCCTTTGCAGTTTCAGATTAGGGCCTTTACCTGTTGCAGTAACCAAGCGACACCATTATCGATACCAACACGCTAGTGAAGTGTCACGTATTGTACTGAAGCAGTATAAGGGAAATGCAGATAACCTTCGCTCATTACTAATTCCTGCACTGGACGGAGGCGAGAGATTACTTTATGCTCCCCGGCGTGGTGTCAAAAGAGAAATCTCTGCCCAAATTATGCTTTTTTGTCTAAATGTTATTTATATGTTTCTTTCGTAATCCTATTAAACTGACGAGTTCACCTTTCCGTCCACACTTCAATATTACATACGCTAATTTGTTTTATGAGCCAAGTTTGATAATATTTTGGCTACATGTAATTAATTGAATAAAAATTTTCTTGGATATTATCCATCGTCTAGTAAATATAAAACGTAAAACGACGTTTCGGAGATGGAACTCTATCTCCGTCTTCAGGTTCCTACACAGTTGGGCCCACTAATTAGTTCAGTACGAATTTCTGAGGTCGAAGGAATACTTACACCATTTAGAGGAAGGCTTTGAAGACTCATATGAAATTTTTTAGGAAAGTTAGAAATGACATGGCGACAAAGTGAAATAATTTAATTAATTTATCGATTCATTGTTGCATTGTTTCAACCATAATTTCTTAAGGTATTTCTGTTTCTTGCAGAGTATAATGTGCTTCGTTATTAATTGTTATTACTTGTTTTTGTAAAATCCGTTGGCATAGGTATTCTGATGTTCAGACGCGAGCCATTGCTAAGATGATCTTACGCTGTGGAAATACAGATTCTGCCATTACAGTTGCGCGCGCATTGCTCTCATTTGTTGTTGGCAAAAACGGAAGTCAGACTGTGAAGTCTATCATAAACACACAAGTGCTATGATTATCGTATTGTCGTTTCTGTTGCTGTGTGGTTCAGTTATTGTTTGCTGTCATGTTTTATCATGAAAATTTCCCCTCTTTCGCCCCTTTACCGTGGGAACTTATGCTGCATTTAAAACCAATTGTATCCCCTCATTGTAACTTTCATAACAATGCCAATCTCTTTCCGTCTATTACTGCCATAAAGTCTCTAAGCACTTCCATAAATAACGACATAGATTGCCACAGGTTTGGTATATTTAATTAAGGCAGTTTATTTTGCACGAAGTGGGTGAAATTAACACGTAATGGGAAGTTAAAGCATTCCCATCCGTCTACTACAACTACGACACTCGATGGCTTTCGACACAATTCAGTACTTTATCGAGGAGATGCTTTATTATTCCGCTATAATTCATACTTTATTGAAAAGCCTGAATGAAAGAGATCACTCGGAAGACGTAGGCTTAGGTAGGAGGCAAGTATTAAAATTAATCTTAAGGAAATGGTGCGTCTATATGAACTGGATTTATGTGGCTCGGAATAGGGGCCGGTGGCAGGCCCTAGTTAGCAAGATAACGAACATACGGGCACTGTAAGGCGGGGAAAGTCTCGAACGATTGTAAGTATTTTAACTCTCTCTCTCTCTCTCTGCTCCGTCAGTTAGTTTGGAATTGTGCGTTTTTTGTAAAGATGCTCAACCCATAGTTTACTTTAATTCGATTTTTTTCCTAAAATTTCAACTAGTTTTAATTCGAAGAAACGTTGGTAAACATCTACCAGACTACACAGCGTAACAACCCAGAAGACAGAAATCTTCACTCACCGCTGTGAAAATCTCAAATCTGACATAGTTTTAATTCATTTCTGATTTTAATTTTTATCATATAAAGGTGGATACACCGTTTATGAGAGAACAGGAATTTAATGTAAATTACGTGTATATTCCATTTAAAGCTCGTTTCTTTGGCGACCGTGATTCACTTCCATACGACTGAAGGGAAGCCATCACTGTAGAACTTAGGTTCTCTTTCTTCTGTTTCTCTTAAGTAAACAGTAAAGTATCTTTTGTTATGTAATCTGTGTTCAAGTCGTCAGAAAATTGAATATTATTTTTACGGTTAAAATATGACGCGTGACTGAGAATCCAAAATCTATTTCTTCCCGTAGTTGAGTGCCTCCACTGCGCTAAATACCCTACCCACCCAGTTGAAAAGGAATCCTTAAATAATCAAAGAATCAATGAGCCACTGGAGTAAGAGATGGTCTGCTTTGAGCATTTGATCTGGTAAGATATGAGTTGTAATTGAATTTGAACTCTCCCGTCCTCCGAAAATGGAGATCTGGTTGGTATACTGATGAGTAACGTTATGTTACGATCTGCGTTGTGTTCTGTGTTAATTTAGCCAACAGCGCCAAACGTTTATTAGACATGAAGAGACTATTGTGATGAATTATCAGTTTCTGAACATTGCTCTTTGACATTTGTCTTTGATGTTAAGTCATGATGACGGCCAA